TTATTATTATAGATATTATTGGTAGTGTTTAAAACCATGTATCTTCAAGTACTATCGCAAATACTTACGTGTCGGTATGATAGTTCAGCCAACAACTTAAGCACGCAAGTTCAATGTAATCATAATGTTACTTATGTCAATATAACCTTCGGACATGGAAAACATTTTCCTCAAGTTTCCGTCCGTTCGTCATAAAACGACACAATTATTTCCACCAGTAATTCTAATTATGTTCCCAGTACAATGTTGTATGTGACTAATGGACCCAATAAACCCCGACAACGACTAGATAATCCATTTAAACTTGATATTTATTCAAAAATAATGTATCTACGTCTTGTACCCGTTCCATCAAATATATACAAATCAAATCTGGTTCATTAATATTAATAAGTATGTACCTGTAAATATTGTAAGTGATATACGTTTGATAAAATTAATTACGTAAAATTCGTCTCTTTTCATAAATTATTTATGATTTTACGATTCTATCACGGATACGTCTCATGCTTATTTTTGATCAAAACAAAATTCTTGATTGGGCAAAGAAAATACTCGTAGGAAATTGTTTGTAACAAATGTACGTACGAACTTATGTTGACAAGCTCACCTCACTTCGTACCGCAAAGGACAACTGGCGAAAAATGAATTAAAGTTCGTAAAGAAATTACTTCTGCTTTTTTTTAATGATACTAAATACAAAGGAATAATTAAACAAAATCTGGGGGCACGTTTGTACCAGCGGCGAAAACGAGCCATGCGAATTACATTTGTATTTAAAGTAAATACTTTAACTGAATAGGTTCCTCCAAAACATTTCTATAAACAAATTAAAGCAATTATTAGACATACATTTTAAATTACTAAAATTAAACTTTAAACAATGCTTTGGCTATTGTAAAGACTAAAGAGTACAAACAAAAATTTTTTTTTAGCAAATATAACATACAAACAATTTTTTTGGCAAATATAAATGTAAATATACATTTTTTTTTACTTCATGGCTTTTAATGGTGTCTAAACCACTTAATTGAATTAATACTTTAATAGTTTTAACATTAAACAAAAAACAACAATAATAGATGACAATTAGATATTTTTTGTTTTAGCATTTGTGATGAGACTTTTAAACTTTCGACATTAAAACAATTTAAAGTATTTAATTATTTTGGATTTTTTACATTTCTAGTTTGAGAGCTTAAGTCGTTCGCGTCTTTAGTTCAGTTGAGTACTTTTCTGAGGGTCAATGCTAAAGGCAAACATTAGAGTTGACAGCAAAAAATCTTAACGAATAGTGACCCAGAGTAACCTTGTCATTACGTAAAGAGTGTTATTATTTGTCTTCTATGAATGGATCTTGAATACAATACTGAACTTTTAAGTTTCATCAGTCTAAATTAGTCTTTATGTAAAAGTTCGAAAACTTCATATTTGAGTAACTCTTATATCGCACCAAAAAAAAAACAAATATTGCGAACTATTTATACACATTTACATAAAAAATAAATATTTTGTTGGCCTCATGCATGCCTTACTATAGGATCTAATGTTCACCAGACGCGTTGAAAACCACGTGCCAATTCACGAGGCAGACCCAGGTGATAAGTATACGTATAAATAAACTTATTTTAGCTATGACTTTATGGTAGTGTGTGTGCGCGTGTTACGACACATGGAACATGTGTGACACCGCAGATGTTCACTTCACACCAAGTGGATCAGCTTATAAAGTACTCAACGTGACAAAAACAAATAAATTAAAAAATAAATATAGCTAACAGTTGTTGAGACTGCCTCGTTGGCCGAGTGGTCGCAAGTGCGACTGCCGGGCAAGGGGTCTCGGGTTCGATTCCCGGGTCGGGCAAAGTATAACTGGGTTTTTTTTAAAAAAAAAACAAATCTCAGTAGTAGCATGGATTCTGGAAATGTGCCCGGTATATGGCAATAGGCTCACCCCGTATTACATAGGACTCATAACATAAATAGTGAAAAGTGGATGTTACTTCTGTGTGCACCTTTCCCTTTCCCTTCGGGGATAAAAAGGCGTGATGTTATGTTATGTTATAGCTAACAGTCTAGCCAAAATTATTATAAAAAAATACGTTACTATGTACGCGTATCAATATTACCTACTTACTAAAATCTCGTTTGAATTACGAGTATCAAGATTTTATATTACAATTATAACTTTAATATTAGAAAATAAGAATTACTTAAATTGAATTACTTTTATGAATGTTACGTAGTTAATTATACATAGATACCTATAGAAGAATTATAAAAAAACATTGTTTAAGGATCCAAATATCGCACGCACTCACATTAAAAAAAGCTGCCTGTTAGGCGCGTCTATTTGTTTTAAAACTTAACAATCACTTCGCTGGTAACTGCGAACGAAATGGTTTCCGTCGATAATTTATTGGAAAAACATTGCAAAACGTCATCGTGTGATAACATCCTATAATTTGAGCTATATACAGAGATTTTGCAATACTACACAGAACACGCCTACAGTTAGCATGGTCGACAAGGGTACTAACCCGGCTCTTGGTCAATGTCAACTACTAAGCTATACTATTAGGTTTATTTATATTAGTTTTTAAGTTATTCTACAAATTATGATATACCTACGGTCAATTTTGTTACATGTACTAAGCCATTGAGGCTATGGCAACTGTTTTTTTTTTGTTTTTTTTTAAATGATACTAAACCTAGCATTATTCTAATATCCCGCAGCGGAGACGTAGACGAACAAAAAATTATAAACATTTAAACAACAGTTTATTTGAAATATAAAATCGTAAGCCGATCTTAAGTACTTAATCCGAAATTAAAAGCCCGAAATATTATCTACTGACAAAAATCGTAAAAATGATTAAAACCTCCAATAAATCTACAACTTTATTCATGTTTCTCATCTCTTGATATTGTTAATGATAAAACAAACTCAAAGGCCCTGAACAAAAGGTGAAGGAAATGGTGACCTTTGAAAAAATGCAAAGTTTTGCAACGATTGATAACATTTAGACTTAGAGGAGATAGTTGATTAGGTACTGCATATTAATGCCATGGATACAAACATTCACATATTATAATTAACTTTATTATACCTCACCACGATATCTACATAAATCGACTCTAATAAGTTATTACTAGAGTCGATAAAGTTACAAAATGTTTATATATCTGCATAAATGCATCGCTTCTTTCGAGCTATGTAAAACCGTAGACTCATACAGGTCAATGTCAAATTTTATAGTGTTAATTATATAAGTAATAATGACCTTAGCATACCTCGAAATCATAATAAAAAATTAGCACAATTTTATTAAAAAATATTTGTTTTGCATCGTACACGATTTCTTTGTGTATAGTAAACAGTTAAATTGCCAAGTCATCTATAAATGATAGACTATTCGAAAGGTTGAAGATATATCTCATGAATGCATTAAGAGGGCTCTGTGAAGAGCCATGAATAATGATAATGGTGCTAGGTACCAAGAAAATCATAAGCTTTCACATAGAAAACTTATGATTCGATACGGTACGGTTCTACTTAAGTAGGTAAGTATTTGTACCTAAACATACAAATCCTATTTTCTATTCTCAAGTAGAAAACGTCCTTAAATATTGGAGATTTGATCGTGTTTTAGTTAACAAGAGAAGCAAACTGAGGCTGTGGGAAAATTTGCGAAATATTTCAGACATTGCGAGTCGTTAAGATAATCTCATACCCATTTTAAAACTGTACCGATGTAGGTATATTTTGTGTTCTACTCTATTCTATAATTAAAATATTACACAATTAAACCGCGACAAAGAGTCTGGTCACAACATGGCAGTCTAATGAGAAAGAATTTGCAAGATATCGCAACATCTGTAACTTGATCTAGGTACGTCAATAAGCATCTTTGTTATATTGCTTCCTACACTAAGTAAGTACTTGTTTATCATGAACAAAGACTGTTAGTAAACACGTCCTGCGATGCAAATACCATGAAACAATACAATCTCGTTTACCTTTATAAATTTTCCTTATTATATGGGAAAAAATGTTAGTCATATTTTTTTCACAAGCTGAATGGAGCGAAGTGGAATTAGTACTCCGACCTCAAAGTTTACAACACCTCACCTTGGTCATTCTTGACCATAAGACTGTAATGTCTGTCATAAAACAAAACGTGTCTGCTCTACGACTCCTCTAAATTCAATTACAACTTAATATTATACACATTTTTGTGGTTTTACAACAGTCAATTATACCCCGTAAAAGTCGTTAAGATTGGTATTTCGATATTAAATTTTAATTAAAATTTTTAAGATTGTGATTCTGAACAAGACTTGATGGTGAATCTAGTTTGCCTAATTAGCTTAGTAATTTAATAGAAAATACACGTTTTTCGTGAATTGGGTACCTATTTACTTACCTATATCTACTTAAATAAATACGATGAGCGCATCCATTAAAGCCGCAGATTATATTTATAGATTAGTTTGAATTTGAATTATATTGGATTTAATGCTTCAGAATTCTCATACTTATTCTTCTCATATTTGACTTTAAAACGTAGTTTATAGATTAATTAATTATTTTTAGTTCTTAGGAATGTTTTGGTTCCTTCCAACCAGGAGTGTGATGAAACTACTCACACAAAGACTACTTATTTCTTATTTACATAATACATATATACAAATAAATGTTCTATTGTTGAACTAAAACTAGCAATGGCACTGAACTTGAAACACAACTTGAGAGTTACGATAGATTGTTTCGCAAATCCATAATCAGTTTTGTTAGCTGTCAGCCGCCGATCTATTTTGATTTTTATTATGAAAACGATATTATGAATTAAACTAATTTATTTATTCACCTTTGTTATGGATTAATTTTAATTTTTTTGTACGTAAACAACTGTGCTATTGAATATTTTTTTTACAATTTAAAACTGCAATTTTATCTCATTTGAGTTTAAAGGATATTAAATATAATCTCAACTTACCGATGAAGCAAAGGCTCCTACACAAATTTTCACTAGAGACACTGGGGTATTGGTATGCAGTATCGCCAGGCTATGGTAAAGAACGTGAGCAACAGTCGAGTAGTAAGGCGCGAACTGCGAGCGCATGGGCAACCGCGGGGCACTTTTACACTAGTAATGTTCGCGCGCGCTCATTCCACCCGTATATACCACAGAGCTATTCGACGTCACAGACTCCACGATAAGGGCTTCGCACACCGCACCGTGTCCACACAATGCGTGCTCTATCTCCAACACCTAATCGATATCGTAAAGACAATCGATGCAGCCTCCTCTATAAGTGTAACGTAACTCTCGATTATTCATCTTGATAAAATCGATAAAAAGAAAATTTTACAGAAACTCTAAAAATTTTACATTTTATAAATGATGCAAAGAGTGTAAATGACGTTTAAATCATGTTTGACTTTGCCATTCTGTCACAGTAAAATAAACTATAAAGTTAATGAGGTGATGAGGTGAATTATCAGTCATAAATGAGGTGTGTCAATAAAACGTGGAGATTATGGTAAACTCAACCCTTAAACTGTCAAACACCAAGCGGTCACCGGTGACCGCAACCTATTGTTCTATAATTGTGTCTACAAAACCGGTACTTGACGAGTTAAGAGAAAGAGGAACACAGACTATTATGGTTGAATGTGTAATTTTTGTGATACGATGAAGTTTAGTGTACAATGGCAGTGTAGTATTTTGAAGATTAACACTTTATAAATTCGTCGATTTACCGTTGAAAACAAAAATAAGGAAAATCGCAAAATTAAGGATATTTAGTTAAAACACATATAATGTATTCCAAGTGTGGTGTTTTGGGTCATCAAGTTAATATGAGATCATTATAGGTTATTATAAAAATGATATTGGTTAACGTTAAAATTAAATAGAAAAAATACACTACATCACTATAGCGTTTGAATGTCGTCATTTAAGAACTGAAAGAAGGTAAAAAAATATTTATGTCAAATTAAAAATATTGCCGATGAGATCATTTAGCATATCGAAAGATTCCCACATTAAATTAAATGCAATTGTTTACATAATTTACATATGAAATTAAATATTAAAAAGGTACCTAATACTTAGTTTTCCTTAAAGCTTTAATGCAAAATAAAACAAATTATTTACTTAGTCTAACAAAATCTACCTTTATGTAAAACCCGAACCAAGTTCTTACTGTTTGAGATTGTTACCCGTCTACGACAAAGCCAAAAGGAGGGTTATGCGTTTACGGTATGTATGTATGAATGTTCATCTGTTCCCTACTAACTCCTAAACTACTGGTCATAATTTGGTAGCAGATGATAGCCGCGGTCGAAAACCATTATTATATACTGTAGAGCAATGTGGCATACGATCACGACTATTCTCTAAGAAATTTTCTTGTTTGATATTTAGGGTCTGTTTTTTTTTTGTATCCGGGTTTTAGTTTTGTAACTTATTTTTTATTATCTAAAGGTATCTATTATGTATATACTAGCTTTTACCCGCGGCTTCGCTCGTGCATAAAAGGATAAAAAGTAGCTTATGTAACATATACCAATACACACAGCGCCATCTATATCAATAATTTCGTTTTCCCTCTAGAATATAAAATTTTTCCGGGATAAAAAGTACCCTATTATTTAATCCAGACTTATAACTTTACGTCTGCAATCGGTTTAGTAGTTACGGCGTGAAAGCGGAACAAACAAATAAACAAACTCACTTTCTGATTTATAATATTATTAAGGATTAAGGATTTATTTCCTTAAAATGTTTAGTCCGCGTCGCATAATAGTTACATCTATGTTACTGAGCCAACCAGTCAATGACTTCGCTACAACCCTTTTCTGGTTTGTCAAGTTAATAACTGGACAAACGAGAACTGAGAATTTCAGGGTTCTTGTATAATCGTAAAGGTTTTTCTATGACAAACGGTTTATCTTTCATGAATAAATAAACTAAAACACTAATAAATTAAAACAATGTAGCAGTTATTGTGTAAACGTATGCTTTTAAAGAAAAACGTTCGTCTCTCTACGACTTGACAATTTACAATGAGTCAGCGAGTACTACATAGCTTTGCAGAAAGAACTACGTATTTTTTTTAAAACGTTTTCCCACATTAGGATTTTCTTCTGTGTCGTGGGTGCGTTTACAGACATACAAGTTCACATACACAATGACACCCAGACCCGAAACAACAATTTGTGGATCACACAATGTGTTGTTCCATGGGGGAATCGAGACCGCGACACGTTACACGGCAGCCGGTTGCCCAGCCACCGCACCAACCGTGCAGTAAGCAATTAGAAATCTGAAGTAATTAAAAAAAATTGATACAAGTGGGTCTAGAACCAGTGGTCACTGTCTTTTCACGTGTCAAAACAGTTTCACGTGTCTCTTATTATTCAAATAGACCCCTCTAAATGTTGTTTACAATCATGGAACTTGAATTATTAGTCGATATTTTGAGTTAATTTAAACGATTGTTTAATAGTTTAATACCTGACCAGTTCTTTATCAATTCGATCGTTTTTATTGTTAATGGACTTATTTTATCAAATTGGTGTCCGTTGTCTATGTAATAAAACCTAGACTGTCGCATCTCACACACATACCTAATGTATAATTCAGCCAATAAATTATCACGACCTTTTTCACACTAGATATTCAACATTTCAATTCATTCTAAATATAACAAAATTCATGTAAATTTTAAAATAGTTCAGTATGAAGCAACTATTATCACGTCTAATTTTGTTCTACAAACGAATTTGAATAGTTAAATTGGATATATAAAACACAGGACCTTACCTTACCTAATATTATTTTTCTTTTAATAATACATTTTATTTAGTAAAATATTTAATGTATCCTTTAGGTCGGTGTTCGACTGTCTCACTTGGTGGTAAGCAATGATGTGGCGAGCAATGCAGTTTGCTTGCAAGTAACATAGACATCTAATCGTGACTTGACCCTTCCCTACCCTTCTAGAAACGCTATGTCAATGAATTTCCACTGTTTGGCGTCAAATGCCTTCATCAGGACTTATTAATCCTTCTAGTAACATGTGTTGTGTTGTAGTTAGGTAATGTAAGGAGCTGTCACTCTTAGTGAAACTATGGGTTACCGCACACGTATGCAAATTGCGAGTAATAATGTTAGCCATATTTAGTTTAATGTTAGTTTCATTGTAGTCACTGTAGTACGTCATAACACGGTCCAGTACAGTGTGAATATGAGGCTTACTGTTTTTGAGCAGTACCAAAAAAGCCAGTTACGTGCACCATACGCATATGAAAAATCTGTAAAAAGAATAATTAAAAAAAACCAATTAATTTTAGTAGATAGCTTTAACAGAAATACGTCGTTGGTTTCAAATAGTAACTACCTTTATTAAATGTTCACTTGCAATGCCAAAGGAGCTAGTTACAAATACGTTGCTGTTCATTACACTTTGACAGATTGTCTAGTTTATACACCAATGTAGTTAACAAAATGGTAAAAATAGTGTCATACAAAACAAACAACAGGAATCAAATAGGAAAAATCCAATACATCGGAAGATTATAGGTAAAACAAAATTTGGTATCAAAATAAAATATTTGTAGTAGGTACCCATGTATTGTTGTAGGTACCGTGGAACCGGATCATAATAACGTGCTTTGGCGGCAAAAAAAGTAGAGAATGCGTACTTCCCCGGACAAACTACACCATAATAAGTATAAACAATAAGTACGCAGACTGGCTAGTATTCAGTGTCCGGTTACATGTTTAATCGTTACTTTATAATATAATAAAAAAAGTACTGGACATGTATTTCCCCAAAGGGATAATTCACTTTTTACGGAATAGTAGATCATATATCAGTCCTTTATTGACCTAAAGTTAATCTTTCTTAGTTTCAGAACAGATTGTAAAATTACACTCAGTCAAGCATAATATACCTAAGCTTGACACCAAAAAAACAACTCCGATATACACAAGTGGATATGATTTTAGCTATAATTCAAAGCACTAACTGTTGGAAAATGTACTGTTCTAAACCAAAAGCTTCTCTTCTTTACCCTTATTCCCACGCTTGACAGCAAACTCGGAAATCCAAGTTTGTGACATTGGCTGAAGTTCTAAGCTATCAATAATATCAATATATTTCTCACCACTTCTTAGATATCTGTTAGCAACCCATACCGACATAACGACAGATTTTATTGAAATGCGTTCAAAGGTTTTTTCTGAATAGCAATAAGCAATTAAACACAATCTTCAGCGATGTTGTAAATGACGTGCAACATTGTATATATCTAATTAAATCATCAATAAAGTCTCCCTATAACATTGCACACGAGCCTTATAATAGACATTGAAATGAATTTAATAACCATACCTAATGGTACGCGTGTACAGTGCATTGCTCCCAAGTTGTTATCATTGACAAGTTGCAGTCATGGCTCATAATCTGCATAATATCACTATTGCATATCTATAAATCTTTACTAATAAATATAAACACGAAAGTTCATATGCATGAATGTAATGTACAGACTGTTTAGGTGGGTGTTTTTTGCGCAATCACGTCTGGGCAACTACCTAAACTAATATGAACGAAATTAAAATAACAGACAGACAGTAAGTAATCTAAAATAAAAACTTCTACTGTTTGCCTGTCAGTTATTTTGCCTATGTCCAATGTATTATTAACATAGGCTACTTTCTATTACAGAATTGATGTATGTAAACGCGGACAAAGTCGCAGGCACAGCTAGTAAAACATGTTTTGCAAAACTAACGCGAAAAGGTGCGGCGAATTACCTTTTCTTAACACATAGGCCAACAAATGTGCAATTAAAGCTTTTTATTGTTGTATTATGGAATCAATTACCATAGATTCACATGAAATTGAATACAGGTAATTACTGGTTACTCTGTATGAGCAGTTTGCTTTATTGTACACCATTAATAAAAAATGAAAGACCACAAAGTACAGAATCAATAAAAAGATACAACATTGTTCGTATACCGACCGATGTAACTATAATTTATAACTAAAGGGACTTCTTGCTTGGACTCCTCCTTGAGATAATCGCGAAGTCAAATAAAATCGTCGTCTCATTAGTTCTATTAAATAATTAATATAAAATTAAGCAGTGAATGAATTATAAAACGATGCGATGCTCAAGTAGATAGATAATT